ATGATAGCTGTTTGTTTACTACACTAACCTGCACGCGGTATGTAAACGAGGAGCTGTTGATGTAAACACAACACCGCCGAAACAATTCAGTGTACTTCCGCGTCATGTGACCGTCACGTGACCTTTCTTAAAGGGACCGTAGGCACACTGTGGTTCAGGACCATAGACTGTATTTTTAGCTTACCTTTTTACACAAGTATTCTACAAATACAGAGTAAAAAATGTAATGGAAAGGAAAGAAATATAAAGAAAATTGTGATTAAAAACAAAAGGAAACATTTCAAGTCAAACTTTTTACCAAATACACATTTGGTTTTGATTGCTTTCTTATTTTTAATATTTTTAATAGTGGTTCCATAATGTTGTAATTGTTCAGGACACGCCACAAAATCGACTAAAATTGTACTAAATGAGCATAAAAAATGTGTGCGCTCTTAAGAAAATCTAAATTATAATTTTGTGGTTATTTACCTCCTAATTTAAATGATGTTGGATTACTATTTTACTATGCTCTTAGCAAAACTACAAGACTGCAGATAGGAACTGAAATTACACAAAGAGGTAAACACTTATTTGTGTATGACTTACTGGTACTGGATATTTCACATACTTTAACCCACTTAGTGTTCAACACCACTTACAATCATAAGTTGTTTGTGTTACAGCACTTACATTTTGTCTCATGTCTTACCTTCATGTACTGCATCGAATAGTTGTCTAGTTGATTGTGAAAACAATTTGAAACTTGAGGGCAGGAAACAGCACTCATACACAGTTCCTGATCTCCTGAATTTTTAATATGCTTCCAAGTGTACAGATACAAATGTATCCACATCTGCTGGCTGATGTTGGGTAAGGAAGAAAGGAAATGTCACTTTTTGAAACAAATATGTCATTACTTATATTTTCCTTTATGTTAAAGACAGATATTATGCATTTGATGTGTATTTTTTCCATACCTCATTCCGTAACATTTGACTACTGTAAGTAAGACATTAGTGATCACAGATACCCCAAAAGAGACTAATTTATTGTGGTATGTGAGTTGTGAGTGGAATGGAAGAATGGTAAGTGTAGTGTTTCTCAGAAGAGAGGGTCCGTTTCCTGTTAAAATAAGTTGAAATAAAAATACTCATAAGTACACATTATGTAGTATGGACCATTTCAGAATCAGGTAGATAAAAGGGGCCCTATTATGCTAATCTTTCGGTTTCATATTTTGTGCCTTTACTGGGACATGTCTCCATGCTTTTTTGTTCAAAAAGGTATTTATTTTTCTCATACTGCCTGTGCTGCAGCATCTCTTGTCACCCTCCGTCTGAAACCAGATCCCAGTCTGCTCTGATTGGTTAGCTGTCCGACTCTGTTGTGATTGGTCAACCGCTTAGAGATGTCCCGCCCCTTAGATGGGGAGGGCCTGCCTCCCCCTCTCAGCCTGTGATCAAAAACAACAGTGCTGTGGTAACTTGACCTCTAAAGCGTACATCTCTGTGAAGCCTATACTGTGGATTTATAGAACTTTAGGCTACACCTATTGGCCATTAACAGCAACAAAATGAGGAGAGTGAACGCGTGGTTGAAATGGAGTTTCATTTGTGTCATCAGTTTGAATCGGGTAAGTGGTTTTCATTTGTTCAGTGTCAACTAAAACCAGGGGCTCTTATGGTTTGTAAGAGCAAACTATTTGGTAAAACGTTACTGTTATCAGAAGCTTAAATAAAGTTGTTTATTTCAAATCAATTGAACAATTCCATATGTCATGTTTAAGCCCAAATGTAATACATTTCCAGGCATTATTACAGTAATTTCAGGACAATATTACACTAGCTGATGCTACTAGAAAGTCATTTAATGGATTGTGTTTCTGCTGTTGTAGGTTGTCAGTGTCCTGCTGTTAACATTCAACAGTCTGGCACTGCACAGTTCCCTTCAACATTTGAAGGTAACACATGTACTGCATATTAACTATATGTATAGTTCTGATATAATAGATTTCAAGGATTCTTTGAGTTTGAAATTTTTCAGAAAAAATTACAAACTTTACCATTAGAAATTACTAAAGGCAACAATCCAGAGAGTATCGCTGCTTGAATGCATGACTACACAGGACAAGTTGCTCAATGTGTTTGTGCTTGTTTTCTCCACAGACAAATCATGAAGGCATTCATTTGAGATATTCTCTTTACATCCCTTATCTGATCTTTGCCATTTTTGGTTTGTATGGGGCCTGCAAAATGAAGAAATGGGCACTTATAGTGGTGGGTAAAGAAAAACACAAGTTTGTATTGTCATTGGAAGTAGAATTAATAAACATGTGTGTATGTGTGTGTGTGTGTGTGTGTGTGTGTGTGTGTGTGTGTGTGTGTGTGTGTGTGTGTGTGTGTGTGTGTGTGTGTGTGTGTGTGTT